TATTATGCCTTCTTTACATTGTGTCATATAATCTGTTTATTCCTGGTAATTTTTCTTGCACTGAAATCTGCTTTCTCTGATATGATCAGAGTCACACACTAACTTTCTTTTGCTTAGTATTAGCATGGTATATATTTTAACATGTCTATATCATTACACTAAGTGATGGCATATAGCTTCGTTTTAATTTTTTTCCATTCTGACAATATGTGTTTATCAATTATCTAATGCATTTTAATTATTGATGTGTTTTAATTTAGGTCTACCATTTTATTATGTTTTCCCTTTCTTCCATCTTTTTTTTTTGTTTCTCTGCCTCTCTTTTCCTGCCTTTTTGTGTATAGTTTGAATATAGTTTATTACTCCACTTCAATTTATCTATTGGATTTTTTTGCTTTCCTTCTTTGTCTAGTTTTTTTTGTTTTTTTTGTTTTGGTGCTTGCAATAGAGATTATAATATACATATTTAACTTTTAACAGTCTATTTAGAATTAATATTTTACTACTTCAAGTAGATTATAGAAAGCTTACTTCTCTGCAGGTCCCTTTATCCTTCTCTATTTTTGTTGTGGCTGTCCTATGTAGTATATATAATACAATTCTGCTTTCAGCTATCATACATATTTAAAAACTTAAGAGAAGAAAAATAGTGTATTATATTTATCTAAATACTTACCATTTTTGTTGCTCTTTCTTCATTCCTGAAGTATCAGGTTTTCTTCTGTTATTTTACTACCATCTGAAAAACTTTTAAAGTATATTTTAAAAATGAGTGTGGTGGCAAGGATATCTCTTTGTTTTCCTTTATCTGTGGGGTGTATTTCTTTATAATCAATATTTTTTATTATGATATTGTGGGGTACAGTTAAAGGTTAGGTATACAAATATGCTTCGTTCAGGCACCCTTGTTGATAAAAGGTGTCTCCCCGTCCCCAGACAGATATTTACTACCGTTAATCCCATCTCCCTTCCCCTCTGCCCCATAGTTACCCACCACTGTCAGTCATTTTCTTATAGTATTACATTGGATGTTCCAGGTCCACTATATGAGTGAGAACATGTGATACTCAGATCTTTGTTTCTGTGAGAGGTCACTCAGTATTATAGACTCTAGTTCCATCCAGGTTGCTGTGAAATTCATGATTTTGTTCTTTTCTATGGCTGCGTAGAATTCCATTGTGTATATGTACCACATTTTTTAAAAAATCCAGTCCTCTTTTGATGGACAGCATGGTTGTTTCCAGGTTCTTGCTATTGTGAACAACGCTGCGATAAACATACGTGTGCAGGTATCTTTTTTATAGAGTGATTTGTGTTCTTCAGGGTATATTCCCAGTAGGGGGATTGCAGGGTCATATGGGAGGTCAATATTTAGAGCTTCTAGGAATTGTCATACTGTTTTCCACAGAGGTTGCCCTAGCTTTCACTCCCACCAATAGTGTAGAAGTATTCCCTTTTTGCCACACCCTCTCCAGTAGCTGTTATTTTTTGAGTTATTGATAATGGCCATTCTGACTGGAGTTAGGTGGTATCTCAGTGTGGTTTTGACTTGCATCTCCCTGATGATTAGTGAGGTTGAACATTTCTTCATGTGTCTGTTGACTGCTCGGATGTCTTCCTTTGAGAAGTATCTGTTCATATCTTTTGCCCATTTTATAATGGGGTTGTTTGTTTTTTTCTTTTCAGCACATGTGAGTTCCTTGTAGAACCAAGATGTTAAGCCTTTGTCAGACATGGAGCTGGCAAATACTTTTTCCCAGTCTGTAGGCTGTCTCCCTGCTCTCTTGATGGTTTCTTTGGCTTTGCAGAAGCTTGTCAGTTTAATGAGGTCCCACTTATCTATCTTCTCTCTTATGGCCTGTGGGTTTCGGGTTTTGTTCAGGAATTGGATACCAGTTCCAATTTTCATGAGGGTATGTCCTTCATTTTTTAAGGTTCTTATGGTTTGAGGTTTTACATTTAGGTCTCTGATCCATTTAGAGTTAATTTTTGCATATGGGGATAGATAGGGGTCCTGTTTCAATCTTCTGCATGTGGTCAGCCAGTTTTCCCAGCACCATTTACTGAATAGGTTCTCCTCTCCCCAGTGGTAGGTGGTGGAGGCCTTGTTGAAGATGAGTTGGTTGAGAAATTGAGGTTTTGCTTCTAGAATCTCAATTCTATTCCATTGGTCTATATGCCTGTTCCTGTACCAATACCAAGCTGTTTTGATTATTGTAGCTTTATAGTGGAGTTTGAAGTCTGGTAATGTGATACCACCTGCTTTGTTTTTTCTGCTGAGGATTGTTCTGGCCATTCTTGGTCGTTTGTGTTTCCATATGAACTCCTTAGTTGTTTTTTCTAGGTCTGAGAAAAATGTTGCTGGTCATTTGATGGCTATTGCATTAAATCTATAGATTGCTTTAGTTAGGATGGACATCTTCACAATGTTGATTCTTCCCATCCATGAGCATGGAATATTTTTCCACTTGTTTGTGCCATTTTTTATTTCTTTGAGCAGTGTTTTGTAGTTTTCATTGTAAAGGTCTTTCACGTTTCTGGTTAGGAAGATGCCAAGGTATTTCATTTTTTTTGTGGCTATTGTGAATGGAATTGTGTTTT